GCCGTCTTGATGATCAACAATGAAATTAATTTGGCCCGTTGTTTGCCACCTTTTTCCACCTTTCGAATGTAAAAGTTCCGTTCACAGCCGACCGAAATATAAATGAATCGCGGTCCCCAGCGATTTGCCAGCAAAGTTTAAAAAGTAAAGAGCCCCACTGTTTTATGAACTGGCTTGAAATGTAAATTTAAAACCACACTTGGACCCGCATTGTATTATTGAAACGCAAATAATCGTTGCTAGAAGAGCCCATTCTTTATCGTTCTTTTATGGCGCGAAAGACATAAGGGAAGGTCTCAGAATAGACGGGCGATCTCCTTTTGGAAAATTGTGTCTTCTAAACCGAAGCAAGTAGCAACTGGAAATTTGCACAATCTTCAGGCCACCTTTGCCTCGAAAGTGCTGGAAGGTTTCTTTAAATCGCCGTGAATCGTGTATTTTTCCGGTCAAGTAGATGGTCTCAAAATAGAAGTTCATACTCAACTGCCATCGTGCTTTCAAAATGTCGCGTCCTCAAACCCGCAGCAAGTAGTAACTGGCAATTTTGGCAGAAAATACGTTTGAGGCTTTGAATTTTCGATTTTTAGTCTTATTTGCTTGCAACCAACGACAGCAAGTTTGATTTGGACCACAAATCAAAACGCTTGACCGGGGAAATTAGCGATTTCTGCTGCCAATGTTTAAACTGCGTTATTAATGTGTAGATATTCAGTTATTTATTGACCAAATTTGGCCTTTATCAATTGCGAGCTGCGTTTTGTTTTGCCTCATATTTAGCGCATGCAAATCTTGATCATCACTGAGTTTAAATACTCATTTGGATTGTTAATACTGCATTCTGTACTCGCAGGTTCTGAACCGTCCAGTGCCCAATTATTATACGCCCTGATTATACACCATCCAGATAGTTTGGATATTCATTCCCATAAAAACATAAATCAGCATTACGACGAAAAGTAACGGCTCCATATATCTTCGACCGGTCATGTAGATGGGCGAAACATGTTGCGACTTTACGATAACCAAATAAGTCACTCGATGACTTAGAGGAATTGATTGAATGGCGGCGCGGGAAAACAAACACGACATAGATCCGCAGAAAATGAATTTTTCTCGTGGGCAAAAATCGCATGCAAACAACTGGGTCGGGACGTGGCAAGAAGACAATAATTATGCGAGTTTATTCTGGTTCTTTTTTCGGGGGGGCCATTTTCATTAGACGCGAAAACAGTAAACCTGTATGTAAATAAGAGGCGTTTGTTCGTCGTCAGCCCGCATGATTTTCCGTTTACCCAGAGATCAAATAGCAATTTTTCGACACGTTTTCCTGGCTTATGCCCGAAATGGACCGGCCGACAATAAGAATAAAATTCTGAAAATATTCAGCCCGAATTCAACGCCCAGTATAGCAACTGTATAATATTAAGTTGATGGAAACTGCGAGTTTTACTGATAAAGTTTCCTAACAGTTAGAATTGTCATAAAACCAAGATCAGGTTTCCTCTCTGGGGAAAGAGCTGCAATGGTGTAAAGTTTTTTCGTTTAATATTGAGAAGAGTCTAGGTGGCTTGCAGGTGGTATTTAAGGAAAAGACTCCAAACTAACACACAGAAACAAATTGCTCTTTATTATGGATTTAGTTCTAAAATTTGCGGCTGTTTTTAGCGATTTAAACCTGAGTTTGCTGTCTAAATGAGGAACATTTCCCGGTGATTTCCCGAATATTCGATCATGAGATGAAGAACTCTTCATGCCCTGAAGAAGAAGAAGAAACCGACAGCAACTTGCCCCATATTTAATTTTCGAATTAAGTGTGAAACGCCCAGTGGGTGGAAACCTGCCAGTTTTACGGGCAAAGTTTCCTAGCAGTTAAACTATTGCAAACTGTTATCAACTCAATTGGTGTCTTTGGGGAAAAATCTAAAATTTATTTTTATTTTACACCCATTTAAAATTAGTTTTGGGAATATTTTCTTGGTTTTTCTCATCATTTTTATTTTTTTTATCTTACTAAGACTGCCAGCTCTATTAGCAAAAATGTCCGAGAATTTCCCGCAAAATAAGCATAAAAACCCCGTTTATCAAACTGGATTCTTGCTTATTTTGTCCAGTTCATTCGTTCGTCGCATTAATTTTCAGTTTGCTAAAATATTCATACCGTGAAGAAGAAGAAAACGACAGTAAATTGCTCTTTTTCAACGCCCAGTTTGCCGATTTTAGATTTTAAGGGTGAAACTCCAGAGGCTAGAAACTGCGCATTTTATAAGCAAAGCGTCCCTGTTTAAGTCATAAATTCAAGTAGTTTCTTTGGTGGAAAGTCTAGCTGATGTTAAGTAAATCAAGTTCTAACTTGATTGAAAGAGCTAAAAGAGAACGCCAAAAAAATCATCAATTCAGCGCTTCAGTCGAGTTTTGTGGATTGATGACTAAAGTGCGATTTGCGGCTGTTCTGATTTATTTTTCTTGCGATCAAAAACTGAGTTGTGACGTTCAAAAGAGAGATTGTCCCACTGTTTTTAAGAAACTCCACTATTTGAAAATTAGTTTTGGAAATATCTTCTTTGCTTTTCTCGTTATTTTTAAATTTTTCTTTTTAATAAGCCTGTCTGCTCTATTAGAAAAAATTTCCGAAAATTTACTTCAAAATAAGCCAAAAACGCGGTTATCAGGATTGATTCTTGCTTATTTCTTCCTAGTTCCTTCCTTAGTTC